TGGGGGAGGGGAACTCAGCGGGCAGTGGTTGGGCAGGGACTGCCCCGCAGGCTTCATTCAGACCGTGCTGTGTCTTCTGGAGTCAAGCCCGATCCTTAGCTTGGCACCTAAGACCCTGCATGTTGCCCAGCCTCGACTCCTGGTGCACTCATAACTGTGACTGTGGCCACACGGCGCTGCGTTCCACCTCCCTGTCTTTCCACATGTTGGTGGTCCTTTCACTACTTCTTGCCTCTCCCCAAAACTCCTACCCATTCTTCAAAACCCAACTTCCGTCTCCTAGTCTGGACTCCCACGGCATTGGGTGCTCCGCTGTTCCGGAACATATGCCTCGTGTGTTTAGTGCGTTACTCCTGGATCTAGTTTTTCTTCAGTTCCAGAAGCCGAGGAAAAATATTACTTTTCTCTCTGCACTTTGCGGTGGGGCTTAGAGGAGTGCTTCGTGAGGTCTAGAGCCAGCAAAGCAGTGAGAAGTGGGGAGCAGGCAAGAAAAAGAGACAGACAGCTGCCGCCAGCCCCTCAGTCCCATCCAGCCTACTTCCTGTCAGGGAGGCGGGTTCCCAGCCCCCAGAGACACATGCAGGCCTGAAATAGACGGTGCGGAGCAGCCTCGCATCCCGAGCCCTGCAGCTTTCCCCGCCCAGGGCGCCACCCACAGCCAAGACCCCTCTGCAGCAGCCCAGTCCTCAGCCCTCTGTTCCCGTTAACTTTGTTTTATAAATAAATTACATAAACAGGCTGCTCTGATTCCTGGGAGCGCAGTGTTTAAGGACCGGGGCGCTGCTGCAGGCATAATTGTACTACCGAATCCATCAGCTGCCTAATTACCATTCATTTTGCATTTATTTCTGCTAATTAAAAAGAGAGAAACTCCTAACAACTTTTACGTAAATACTATATTTGTTCTATGTAAAGATGGGATGCTAATTTGCTGGTGATTAGCTGATTATCTAATTTTATAGTTGTCACACAGGATGGCCCTGTCTCCTCTCGGCACCAGATGCCACCCGAGGCCCCTGGCCGGGTGGAAGGGGAAAGGGTCAGGGAATCGCTTATGGTCAGAGGGTCTGTCTGAGGCCCAGGGGACACCAGGAGCACCAGGTTCTGCTAGAGTTTTGGGGACTGCTGTCTGATTGGTGGATCTAGGCGGAACTTCCGGTGCATGTATTATGTATGATCTCATGGAGAAACTGAGATCCAGAGAGGCCTAGCACCTTCAACAAGCCTGGCTGAGACCCCTTTGCAAGTGGGGAGTCCCACTGCAGTCTAAAGAGGGGCTGGGCTGAGCCCAGCTGACCCCACCATGTCCCTGTACAGCCCCTGGGGTACCTGAACCAGCCCCCACCCCAGCAGTCAGCCTGCAGCTTCTGAGCTGTCTGCATACTGTGGGCTGCTGTGACATGTGCCAGGGTCTGAATTTCACATTTTAGCATTCCGTATTTATTTTCACGTGGATTAGAAATAAAAAAAAAAAAACATGTAATTATTCCATCAAAGCCATGATTTCACAGATAACTTGCTGAAGATGCGGCTACACAAAGACAGTGATTGGTGTGAAGTGCTTTAAATAAGGCTACGTAAATCATGAAGATGGGACACAGAGTTGCTTATGGTGTGTCTCAGAACCAGTGTGGAGATGAAGTGAGGGGCCAGAGGGTGACGCCAGGTTGGAAGGCAGGCCTGCAAGGGCAGGGGACACAGGGAGCTCCCTGGGCAGCATTTGTCTGGTCTGTGGCCTGCAGGCCCTACAGCTCCATCCTGTGACGCAGCAGACATTCCTGGGGATCCTGCTTTCCTCTCCCCTGTCCTGCAGGCAAGGTGATATAGCCCCCAGGCAGGGGCAGGGGAGGGCACAGTGGTCAGCCATCTAGGGAGGGGGGCTAGAGGCTCCCAAGGCTCTAGGGCTGTGGGCCTGGGTTCCAGTGCTACCCACCGCTGCCCAGAGCCACAGTGCCTCATGTAGCCCTTAGGCAGCCAGGTTCTGAGCCAGGGCCCATTGACGTCCCACCTGCTATTGCAGTTGGTGTACCCTGCCAGCCTGGCCGAGTCCGAGACTGAGGACCAGGAAGAGGACCCAGGATGGCCCTGGGTACAGGGAGGCAAGCAGGAGGCCCCTTTACCGCTGAGATCTTGGCGCAGCGCATGCTGGGAGCCTTCGTGCAGGCTGAATGAACGACTTCAGGAGAGGGGGCTTCCTGAGCAGTTGCTGCTACTGTCGGAAACCACCCAGCTCCTCCAGGCGGGGAGCAGAAAGGATCGGCGAGTGTTGGCTGCCAGGCTGTCTGGTTGTACCCTAGCTGGGAGACCTCGGGCTGGTTTCCTCATCGGCAAATTAGCACAGTACCCTACCTTCTAGGTTGCCGCGATAGGAAATGAATTAATTCGCGTAAACTACTTAGGATGGTACAGCTAAAGGTCTTTTAACTTAGGTGTCATTATTATCAGATTCATCATTGTCGCGACCAGAAGGGGACTCCCTGGCAAACTCATAACGCTGGATAAAAGGCCTAGTGTAGCTGGGAGCTGCCAAGCATTCTGAGGTGGTGTGGAATGCGATCATTGCACTGGGAGCATTTTGAGGCCTCCCAGGAAAGGGGCCTGGTTCCCTAAGATCCCTAGAGCCCTAAAATTCCTTAATGCAGGATTTTTTGTGTGATTGCTGAACCTGAATATATATTTGTAATTCTATATATTTTTAAAAGGAGGAGTCCCTCCAAGCATCTATAGTAACATTATTCCCTGTAAACCTGAACCACATTTGCTTGGTGATGGTGCTCCTGGTGCCTGGCTCTGTGCTGCCCTCTCTGGTGGCCCCAGCAGGAAGGTGGCCCTGACCGGGGGTCGAGTAACCTAACGTGTCAGTCCAGGACAGCCTTGCTCTACACGGCTGGCCTCCTGCTGTCCCACACTACAGGAGCCCGAGAGACAGGGTACAGGGAGAGTGGGACTTGGGAAGGTCTCCTGAAGCCCCGATGTCTGCGCTGAAACCCTTGCTCTCCAGCTGGGACCCGCTCCTAGCTTGGCACCTGCCCTGGTGGGTGGCCTGGGCCAGGGGAGCTGGGGCCATGGGAAGCAGGTTGCAGATTTGGAGCAGTTGCCCCTGTGGCTGTCGTGGGGGCGCTGGCGGGGCACCAAGGCCAGGGTTGTGCAGCCTGGCTTAGGGTGTGCCCTGCCATCTGGGAGCTCTCGGTCGTGAGAACTGCAAGTTTCACACCTGGAGGGGCAGGGAGGTGGCATCAGACCCCATCATAGGGGCATTTCAGAGAGAAGTGTAGGCAGCCCAAGGGTCACGAGGGCTGGCATTCAGCAGGAACCACCAAGAAGACAGACAGTGGTCAGGGAAGCCTCCAGGGTGGGCACCAGGGACCCTCTGCACCTCCCCAGCAGCAGGGCCTCACAGCCCTGGCTCTGACAGGGACATTTATAACTCACAGCTGTGCGGTCCTGGGCCCAACTGACTGTGGTAAACTGATCTGACTTCAGGAAGTCCCATCCTGAGGCCACTCCCCACCTGACCCCACACTCCCGTCCCCCTCCTCACACCACATCCTGTTCTCAGTCAGAGAGGCGGGCAGCAGGGCCAGCCAGGAGCCCAGCTGGGGTCTTCAGCCTGCAGAGAGAACAAGGAAGGACAGAGAGCAGCCGAGAGGCACGAGGGCTGTGGCTACCAAGATCTCTAGGGTCTGCCCCCTAAATATACACAGAGAGAGCGAGGACCACAGAATCAAGGACCAAGAGTGTGGGTTGTGGGTTTAGGGGCAGCAGAGAACCAGAGCTCCCAGAGAAGGCTGGGGAAAGGTGCTATCTTGGGCCCTGGGCCTTTGGATTTTTACCTTCCTTTGGGACACTGTATCCTAGGAGGCCTTCCACATATCCACGTAGGTTCCCACAGAAAATTCAAGTGTGGGAGAGGCCTGGTCTGGTCCAGTGTGGGGAAGAGGCCAGCACATCAGGCCTGTAGCCCCTCTCCTGTCAGCTCACTGGCTCTCCTCCACACTTTTCTCTCCCTATGTCCACTGAGATAGCTCCTGCTCCATGCTAGGTCTGCCAGAACTTGACCTGGGAAACTCCAGTCATGTCTGACGAAATTCTAGAGTTAGGTAACACTAAAAAGAATGCAGATCTTTATTCTGTGAGTTATCTATGAAAGAGTATTAGAAATATGTAACTGGCAAATCACACTGATTATTTCATGGCCACGACTGCTGTGGACAAGGCCAGATTTATTGGAGCTTTAAAAAAAAAAAAAAAAAAGGGAGTGAAGTCAAGGTGAATTTTAATTGAGTCATCTTCCATCTAGGCCTTAGCTCCACACAAGAATTGTGAGGGGCACAATAGAAGACTTTATATTTGGGGACACAAAGTAACTGGTCACAGGCCTCTTCTCTGCTTTCCTGTTTCTGGTCTGCTGCAAGAGTTGTAGGCAAAGCAGGAGGAATGGGGTGGGTAAAAAATGGTGCCAAATGTCGGCCAGAGACTCGGTAAGCGATTCGTAATGGCGTAGGAATCCAGCAGGGGTCAGAGAGTGGCTTTGAAAGTGGCTGCCGGGAGGACAGGCAATGGCCGGGCAATGACCGGCCGTGGAAGATAATTCCCCAAAGCCAGACATGGCACAGAGAGGTAACCAAGAAGGGCTTTGTACATCTAGCTAAAAATACCCTGACAACTCCGTCACCCTGCCTGGGGCCACACAGGAAGGCAGTGGCTTTCTGTTGCTCTTACCAAGAAGAAAAAGACAGCCGAAGTCCCCGGGCCGCAGAAGAAACAAAAGTTAGATGTGCATAGTTTTTCAATCCCAGTGGGAGGAGCAGGCTTGCTCCTTGGTGTGTGGTGGGGCTGGAGGACACAGAGGCTGTGATAAATCAGGCATCCTGGGCGGGCGCTGAAGGGGCCCAGACGCCACTGAGATAACCCTGCGGTGAGGACAGGGCTGGGCGGGAGCGGGTGGCTGCCGGCGTCCCTCACTTCTCACCATGTCTCTCTCTAATCTGTATCCCCAGGAGGAAGCTGAGGGCCCTGTTGAGGGTCAGACCAATGCTGCGAGGGGTGTGAGGAGAGTTGCTGCTGCCTGTCCCCACGCTGCTGGCCTGGCAAGGTAACACCAGCATGCCACCACCATCCTGGGCAGGGCAAGGTTGGGAGGCCACAGGGTGGACTGGGCCTGAAGATCTTCATCTTTTTCCTCTTGACCTGGCTGGAGGGCTCTTGTAGCTCTTGTGTGGCGTCCATTCTACCATAGACACTCTGGACTTCAGTGTATCTGTCTCTAAAATGGGCACAGGTCTCAGTCCTCTCCTACCTCCCAGTCTCAAGGGGTCTGTGAATCAGGAGAGTGACTGACCCTTAAGCTGTGATAGCAGCTGGGCCCACTTAGAATGCTGAGGACGTGGCCCAAGGTCAGTAGGCCAGGTGGGGCTTGTGAGGAGCGTTCAGGTACAGGAAGCTGGCGGGCTGCCAGGGGCCTCGCAGCAAGTTCTGGCCACACTTGGCTCTGTACTGTTGGCTGTATCACCTTCTATACTTTGCCTTCACCACACTGCATCAGTCTGACCCATCTTCTCCAGATAAGTCCTGCGATTGAATTCAAGTCATCATTAGTCTTCGTTGAGTGCCTGTGGTAGGACTTATCCATCAACCACTCATCATCCATCTATTCACCTACCAGACTTCTGTCTGTTCATCCATCTACACAACCATCCCATCTGTCTGTCCGTCCATCCATCCATACTTCCATCACTGACCCACTCACCCATCTACCTATCTGTCCATCCATCTTTCCATCCACCCATTCACTCACCCATCTATTCATCCATCTATCCATCCATCCACCCATCCACCCACCCATTCAACCACCCACCCATCCATTCACCCATCTATCCATCCATCCATCCATCCATCCATCCATCCATCCATCCATCCATCCATCCATCTATCCATCCACCCACTCACTCACTCACTCACTCACCCATCCATCCTTCCATCCATCCATCCATCCATCCATCCATCCATCCACTCACTCACTCATCCATCCATCCTTCCATCCATCCATTCATCCATCTACCCACCCACCCACCCATCCATCCACCTAGGCTGCCTGCCTGCCTGCCTGCCTGCCTGCCTTCCTTCCTTCCTTCCTTCCTTCCTTCCTTCCTTCCTTCCTTCTTTCCTTTCTTCTTTCCTGCATCTGTCCATCTGCCCAGTCATGTAACTACCCATTTCCTACTTCATTCACTTACCACTCTCACTGACTCTTGCGCTAGGCATGACCTGCACTGAGGGCTGGATTTTGGAGTCAGCAGATCCAACCCTGCTCTGAGGAGACACAGCATACAGTGGGGACAAAGTCCCTCCTGTGGGATGGTGCTTGGCCGTGTGGTGTCTGTGACTGCAGAAGGGGTGTGGATGGGTAAGGGGGGCCATGAGCCAATTCTGTAAGCAGGCAGTCATCCGGGAAAGAATATGCAGCACTCTCATTTCTTCCTCCCAGAACTCCTGATGTTTGGGAGGTGTAGCAGGGACAAAACACAGCACTCTCCCTCAAGGTGCTTTTCTTCTCATGATGAGATGCAGGCAGTAAATATCTAAGCAAAGAACCTACCATATGTCAAATGAAGCTAAATTTGTGTGGAGTTTTTTGAGGGTTTGGTTTCTTTCGGTAGCAATGGAGATCAAACCCAGGGATGCTCTACCACTAGCTATACCCTCAGTGTTTTCATACTTTCTGTTTTTTATTTTGAGCTAGGGTCTTGCCACCTTGCCCAGACTAGCCTCAAACTCACGATCTTCCTGCCTCAGCCTCCTGAGGAGTTGGGATTACATATGTGCACTACCAGGCTGAGCTTAATGCTAAGTTTTAAGAAGAGAAATTAAGCCAGGGAAGGGGATAGAGCCGACCAGGAGGGATGAAGTGCTCTCCAAGGGCATGGTCAGGGAGGCCTCTGACCGAACAAGGCCTGAGAGCCACCAGCCATTGGGGAGTGAGCAGGGGTGACCTTCATGGCCAGGGACAGAGCAGAAGGCTGTGTGGCTGATGCTTAGGGAGGTAGGCAGCGAGAGCGGACGCTGGGGGACCTGCCATGTAGGTGGCAAGCCTGGGACGTGGGGTGGCTACGAGCTGCTGTTTAGTCCAGGAGCAGGTGGACCAAGGGTGATGGGAACCTGAGTCAAGGCCCTCAGGAGGAGGAGGCCACAGCGGCAGAGTCACAGAAGGGTTGGAAAGAGGCAGCCCAACAGAGGGGGCAACAGGAACATAGCTTGTGTGGGCAAACAGGAAAAGGTACGGCGGGCATAGGGGATACAGAGGCCTCTGTAACCTGGCCAGGTGTGGCAGAGCAGAGTGGGCAGAGCCTCTTCCTCCCCAGACCTCGCCCATAGGTGCCAAGGCCGGCAGGTGTCTGGCTGGGCAGTGAGTGAGCCCGAGTCTGGCTCTCCTGGCCCCCTGGCCCCAGCTGAGCCTCTTGACCTGGCTCTGTCCACTTGTTTTGTTAGTTGATTTTGAGATAGGTTTTCGCTGTGTTGTTCTGGCGGGCCCCACACTCACTATGTGGCTTAGGCTGGTCTTGACTTCACAGTCCCCCTTCTGCTTCAGCCTCCTGGGTGCTGGGTTTACAGGCATGGACCATCACATATTCTGAACATCGGTCCACTTTGGCGTTTGCTTCTGGGGAGCTCCTGTACCCTTCAGTGGCTCTGGCTGTGGGCCCTGCCCCTTGTGGAGCACTCATCTGGATGCTGTGGACTTAGTCACTGCCACCCAGGGAGGACACACACCTGCGCATCCTTCCCTTTGGGTGAAGGTGTCCATACCTCTAGCTCACCTCAGACACGCTCTGGCTTCTGGGGGAGCTATGTGCGCTTCTGTTTCAACATCTGCCTCTTCCTGTCATCATCTCTGTCCCTCAGTCGCTCTATCAGCAGTGTCCCCTCTGGGTCAGGACAGGACAGATGTGGGTCTGTGGAGGACACTGGAGCAATTGCCAAGAAGCTTCAGGGTGCTGTGTATAGGTAACAGAGTCCTCTGAGAGTTGTCAGTCAAAGTTGGGGCAGTGGACAGGCACAGTGCCAGCGACCTCTAGCATAACCATGAGCACCTCAGGTACCTGCCATGCTGGGCCCACTGGGGAATTGCAAAGAGAGGCTGGTGGGCAAGATGAATCCAGAAGCCACAGGCTCTGGGGGTGCAGCTGGGGTGGGGGCGGGGTCACAGTCACACATCTGGGCCATGGGAGCCACGGGGGCCACAGGGGCCATGGGAGCAAAGTCCAGCCTACCTGTGGGAGCTTGCGCAGGATGATGAGACAGCTCCAGGCTGGGAATCAGTGCAGCTGACCAGGGACTTTGGGACCTGCTTGCTCTCTTGGGACAGAGCAAGGTGAGATGCCCTCTGGCTCTGCCTCCCAGACCAGAGAAGACGGCCAAAGCTGCTTTGATGGCACAAGACTTTGCTGCCCTTGTGGCTGTGGTTAATGTGATTTGCCTGATAGGCAGATGAGACAGGAAAAGTTGGTCCTTGGGACGGGTTTTCTGTAGGCCTGTCTCCACCATGCATTCCTGACTCTTTCAACCACCCTGGCAATGTTGAGAGGCACAGGATGAATCCCCACTGATCAGATGGGCCAGCCAGGGCCAGAGAGGACAGAGTGTGTGTGACGCCACAGCTACTGTGACAGAGGGGTCCTTTTAACTGGGACGCCTGACCCCAAGCCCCATGAGCCTAGCATGGCCTGTACCATGACTCAGGCTCTCCTACGACCATCCAGACACACACACTGCCTCTCCAACCTCCTCATTCTCAAAAGGGAAGACCTCGAAGCCCAGAGAAGGCAAGACACCAGCCCAAAGCCACACAGCAAGTCAGATGCAGAACGGGCATCAGATTCCCATCCGTCCTGTTTGTGTCCACCCTGGCCCCTACCCACTTCCACTGGGAGCACCCATAGCCCGCCCTGTCCCTTGGCAGGCTCGGGCACCTTCTCTGATGGGAGGCATGCAGCTCTTCATCTGAGGGTTCCATTGTGCCTATTGTTTAAATATAGATTACTAATGAAATGCCTTTTCATGCCTTCCCAGTGAATAGTTTCCGTGTAAAGTTAATTTGCAGTGTTATGTAAATTCTGTTTAACTTCAATCAAGTTTCTAATTATGTTTTTACCGCAGTAATTCCCATTTGATTTGTCATCTCCTGTTAGGTATTTAATGTGCGGTGGGCGGCCCTACATCTGCACTGCTCCCCGTTTTCCAAGGACTCTGCCTCTTCCCGCGGCCTCCCGTCTGCCCCTCTCCTTACTCCCACCTCCTCTCCATCCTCCATGTCTTCCTTCCCTCCTTCCTCTTGCCTTCTGTTTCGCTCTTTCTCAGTGTCTCCCCTCTTGCTCTCTGTCCCTCCTGCTGCCCTTTCCCTGCTGTCCTCCCTCAGGGATTCCTGTTTCTCCAGGGCTCTTCCCTCTTTCTGTGTTTCCTCGTTCTTCTCCTCGATGCCCCTGGACTTCCGCAGTCCCAGCTCTGTCTGCGCCTGGAGTTTGCTGCTTTCTTGAGCTCCTCGCCCCTTCTTCTTCCTCTTTTACCCTGGAGTCCCACGAAGCTGCCTGCCCAAGCAAGGAGCAGCTGGCAGATGAAGCAAGGCTGGCTGGATTCCAGGCTGGGGCCACTAGGGGGGAGCCCTGTGCACCCTGAGAATTCAGACCTGCCTCTGGGAAGCCCAGTCTAGAGCTCTGCAGGGGCTAGGCCAGGGCCAAAGCTTCTACCTGATGGGGTTGGGTATTGGGGAAAAGCCTGGACCTCAGGGTTGGGTCCTGTGGGTTGGCTTAGTTTCCAGGTGTAACTGTGATCTGTACAGCTGTGTGACGGAAGAGTGGTGGGGAGGACACTGCAATGCTGTCTGCAGGTGGCTTCTACTCAGAGCTTGTGGTCCCAGCTTCATTCGCTGTAGCTTCCTAGATGCCTGTGCAGTGGGCCCTGGGCCTGAAGCAGGACTGAGGCAGTCTGGCCTGCCCCTTGGGGGTACCAGGCCCTAGAGCCCCTGGCCACAGGTTTTCCCCAAGCAAAGGCCAAAAGCGGAACACACATGCGAGGTGGGACTGGATGCCCCTTATTCAG